ATAGTAGGACTAAAGATGGTAGTTATTATTTTAACACTCTCTGTATGGAATATAAAATCAGAATCCTAATTACACATTTAATGAGCATGAACCAAACTTAATTGGCCTTTCCTTGGTTTTCTATTAATAGCTAGTTGGTACTTGCTTTATACGTTTCGTTGTCTAGGAGCATTTGCCAGCAAACAAACAGGCAACAGAGGTGTAGGGAAATGTAATGGAAAGAAGATATAAATAGAGAAAATTCAATCATTAATGTATTTGAATTTGGCAATTTACTTCAGTTAGCAACTAACTGAGATTTTATTTTAGAATGAAAGACCTTGGTCTAGCTCCAGGAACATCAAGGCCTGGGTGGGGCCTATTTTGTGAACCATGGTTCTTAATGATTTTTGGGGATTCTCTTGTATACATCAGTTTTACTCTGAGAATTCTGAAGAGCTGAGTGCTACATTTGCTTCAGCTTTTCTCCGGTGATGCTTGGCCAAGGCCAAGGCTAAAGCCAGTCTCCCAACACGGCAGTGGTTCTTTCCAGTCAAACACTGGGCAGCCTGATCTGTTGCTCAGCAGCTCTGCAAACTCAGCTCTGCTGGGGAAACCATACAGACAACCACCTAGAAGTGAGGGTTGTGCTTCAGTCTGTGCCAGCATTATTGCAGATTAAAGAGGAGACTCTAGGACCAGGAGTGGATGTGGAGTCTGTGGATGGTTCTTTGTGACCTAGAGAGCTAAGATCTTGCAGCTAACAGTTGAGTGAAGGTAGTTTCGGGCTTCAGGGAACCCTCCCACTTGAGTCTATGGGTTTTCTTTTTTATTTCAATACTAATAAACTTTTGCTTTATTTTTAATAGACTTTTAGAACAATTTTGTGTTCACAGCAAAACTGAGCGGAAGGTACAGAGACTTTCCATATGCTCTTCAGCACCATGCATTCATAGACTCCCCCATTATCAACATCCCCCACCAGAGTGGTACATTTGGTGTAATTGGTGAACATACATTGGCACATTAATACCACCCCAAATACATTTTTTACATTAGCATTCACTCTGCTGGATTTTATGGTAAGGTATGTTTAGTTTTGCAAGAAACTATGAAACTGTCTTCAAAAGTGACTGTACCACTTTGCGTTCACATCAGCAATAAATGGCAGTTTCTGTTGCTCCATGTCTTCGTCAGCATTTGGTGTTGTCAGTGATCTGGATGCTGGCCATTTTAAAAGGTGTGTAGTGGTATCCTATTGGTGTTTTAATTTATATTACCCTAATGACATATGATACAGAGAATATTTTCATATGCTTACTTACATTGGTGTTATACCTTCTTTGGTGAGGTGTCTGTTAAGAACTTTGTTCATTTTCTTATCTAAGCTTTTTCTATGCTGAGTATTGGGGGAATGCAGGACAAGGAGAAGGACATACTCTCTTCCCTCAGGGAGCTGCCAGAGGAGAAATGACAGTGTCTATTAGGAACTGGCCTTACAACCTCCCAGGTTGATGGATGAGTCATCACGCATATACATGCACAGAAATTCACTTCGTGCTTGTGACATTAAGTCTTCTCTTCTCTCTTCTGGCCTCTTCTCTTTTTTAACTTCCTGGTCTCCCACTGAGTTCTTGTCTGGAACTACCCTGTTTGAAGAGGGTGCTGTGGGTGCCTGGCACAGACACCTCATGGTGTGCTCATTCCCTGCTGACGGGCCCGCTGATCTCTGAAACTGGCCCAAGTGTCCCATAGAACTGATATTTATGGTTTTTTTAAAAAATAAACATAGAAATTGACCCTCTCAGTCTTAACACTTGAGAAAGTTACATTTGTCTTATCTGAGTTCCTTTCTCAAAAAACCAACATCAGACGTCCCGGATAATATCAAGGAATAGAAACTTACCACATCACCACATCTGGACAATGAGATGCCAGACCCTCATCTGTCCTAATTGCCTAACCACACCCTGCTGCCTATTGACCAGCTCCTCTTCCTTACCCCTCCCTAAATCCTGTTTTCTCACCCAGTTACATTTCTTCCCTGCAATATAAACCTCTAATTTTAGTCACTTGAGGAGATGGATTAGAGACTGATCGCCAATACAGTCGGCTGCTGCAACTGAATAAAGCCTTTTTACCTGGCAATACTCATTGTCTCAGTGATTGGCTTTCTGTGCAGTGAGCAATAGGATCTAACCCAAACCCGTGGCATTTCAGTAACAATCACCATTACCCGCCATCTCCCTCTCAGCCTTGAGAACGTACTCATCTGGGAGGTAGCCTTGCACTCGCCCCTCCCCTGTTCTTTTCTTGCCTCATGGTGGGATCAATGCCGGATCCAACCGAAGTGCGTTTCCAGCTGAGACCACATTCTATTAGTTTGTTCCCCTTCCCTGTCCCCTGCATCCTCATTCCTCATTCTTGTCCTGAGAGCATGCTCCCCGTCAATCACTTGAAGAATCCCTGTTACAGGCCCTAGGGAAGCCAACCTAAAGTAATGCCCATGCTCAAGCCTTCCCTCTGTTTCTCTTCAATTAGGACCTGGCCCTCCTTAAACTTCCAGTCAACTGCGTGAAAGTGGGTCATATTAAGAATTAATTATAAATAATGCTTCCTAGTTTATTTGTAGGCTAATGTGTTACTGTTTCTTGATAACACAATGCCTTCACTCAGTTAACCATTCATTTTATTTTTAGGACTTGCTTAAGTAACAACCTTAGGGGGAAAGTGCCAGTGGAATTTCATGAGCATGACTGGCAGTGCCTGCAAGGAGGAGAAGGATGAGATACTTTTGGTTAGGTGGGTTTTTCAGCATCTCTTCTGGAAAGATCTTTTGAATCACTTTCTTCTTACTACTGCTACCTGCCAGTGATTTGCTCTCTCCTTCCTTCATCTCCCCAGAGTATATAATGGTTGAGTATCTCTTTATTGCATTTATAATATTGCATTGCAATTATTTTTTTTTCCTGGTTGCCCCCTCCCACTAGACTGGGAGCAGCTACAGAGCAGAGGCCTTGTCTTATTCATCTCTATCTCCCCAGTGCCTAGCATGGTGCCTGGTACCCAGGAGGAACTCAAACACAGTGTGTGACAAAAGAATTAATAACTCTGATGAAAAGTCCACCTCCTCCTCCACTTTCACATGTATGCACCTGGGCACATACATGAATACACATAATAACATTTGTGGTGGAGTGAAATGTTTAGCATATTAGTCAATTGTGTTTCTTCCTAGTATTTCCTCAGTTTTCAGACTGGAAAATGATACCTCAGGCCAAGGGAAAGAGAATAGAGAGGGAGGCGATGGGACATAGGAAGAAGGTGAGTCTCTAAAATAAGTTTTAGAGACTAAATAGGGAGAGTGGTCAAGGATGGCCCAAGATAAACTTTTGGGACACAAGAGGAGAGAGGACCAGACTGCTCTCCTTGGTGAGTTCTCTTGTAGAAAGCAAGACCCAGAGGGGAGGACGATACATGGTTAGTCAAAGAATAGGGTCTTATAGAGAATCTCACATGAGAATAGTGCTCACAAGGGCACTATTTTAGATTGGCTTCCCTAGAGCCTGAAACAGGGATTCTTCAAGTGATTGATGGGGAGCATGCTCTCAGGAGAGGAATGAGGATACAGGGGACAGGGCAGGGGAAGAAACTAATGAGAATCCAGGGGTCCGTGGGAACTAGGCTGGCCTAGAAGCAACAAAACTTTGCTTAATACACTCGAGGGCCCAGAGAGTGCAGTAAGATATGACTCTGAGCACACAGGCTAAGGGCTAGTTAGCTGGGAAAAATGCCTGGAAGAGAGACACTTTTAAGTTCACTGAAATCTATTTTCTACCCTTGTGGAATAAGGAGTCAAATAAAGGAGTGAAATTAAATTATAAAAAAATAAAATGTTGCATTTAGTGCACAGCTCAACTTGGAACTGAGACTTGCTTTATAAAGAGTAAAACTGAAAACTCTGGGTAAATGAATCAACCATGGGCAGAGGGGTCAGAGAGGTGTAGGCTAAAGAAGAGTCTGTGTCTGGGACCTGGTTCATGGGACTTCAGGACTCCGTGAAGTCAGGTAGGACTCCTGGGGTGGCTACTGATTACCAATGAGGATGTGAGAAAAGGAAAATGATAGGTGATCTCCCTGCCTGGGCTTTTTCAACTCCAATTGCACCACCTGTGAGCATCTTATTAACATAACAGGGGAGGCCTAGACATTTCAAAAAGCCAACTAGAAGAACACTGATGTAGAAGGCTCCCCTGGCGCCGTCGTGGGGATACTGAAACTGCTGTTGCTGTGAAAACCAAAAACCGTGCCAAGTACTCACTTGCCTCAAGTCAGAAAGGCAGCCTGGAAACCTTCGCTTGATAAATCTAATCATTATTTTTTTTTCCCTGAATACTCTTGGGCAAATTCAAGACTGCTTGGAGAAATGGATATGAATATATACAGATAAACACTGGCATGTAGACATGAATACATATAGATAAACACCCACCTCAGACATAAATATATAGATATGATCATTTACTACATATTCAATACTTCCTATTCTGGAGGCTGTAGAAATGATTTTATAGACATTATCTCATTTTGTTCTTCCTTCAACAATGAAAGGAGAGTGATGCTACATTACTTTAACACAAGAGGAAATGGAGGCACAGAGTGGTTGAACAATAGGGTCACAGACCTACGAAAGGATAGGGCTTCTCTATATGTTGACACATAATCAATGCTGACCCTTCCTTGGGTATTATGGTGGATGAATGTGCTTGAATGACTCCCTTACCCCATCCCTTAATACTCATTATTCAGCTCATTTTAAATTCCTTTATCAACATTATTAGCAAGAATCGTAAGGGAATGATTTTAGCATAATTGTATGAAACAGGGAGACAACAGCTCTGGAGAGAAGTCGTGTGTATCTATGTGTGCACATGCACAGACGTATGCATGTACACACTCATGTGTTTCATGGAACTGAATAAAACTACGAAATTGTCATGTCTAATACCTTAACTTCACAGATGCAGAAATAGCAGCTCAGAGAGGCAAGTGACCTGCCCACGGCCCCGGGAACCAGGTCTAGAGGGACCCTGCTGTATCTTTGCCTGAGAGATGGAGCTGTCTGTTACCGGCACAGCCTGAAGGGGAAGAAGACCGTGGAAGGGAGAGGGCAGGGAGCTGCCTCACCTGCTAACTCTTCTCGATTGAACCAGCTCTCCACTTGGGAATTTGACTGCAACATGACTTCTCAGGACACCAGACATCCTAGCCTTAAGAAGGGCACAGGTACATTTTCCTAGGCCAAATTAATATGGATTTTGAATTACCTCCTATTGTTCAGAAAGATCCTTTCTGCATTGGTGGCTTTGACATTTCCCAGGCTGCAAGAGCCATGGATCTCCTCTGACAGCTGCGTTGGAGAAGGTTCTGAAAGTCTTCTTTACATCCCTAACCAGACAGGTCATCAGGAAACTCCTCCAACAAGCGCTGACCCCTTCCCCGGTCAATCCTTTGTGGGGCTCTGAGGTATAGATAGCACCCAGTTGCTGCCCTCAGAATCAACCCAGCCCTTGCTTCTCTCCCAAGAGTGAAACTTGGAGGCATTAATATATATTTTTGTTCTGCAAAACTTCAAAGAATAAAACATTAGAAATAAAACTATAACAATCGTCCATGTGCCTGCCACCCAGTTTTATTTTTTTTAAGAAGTAAAACATAAATATAGTTAAAATTCCTTGTGTATCCCTCCCAGTTCCAATCCTCCCTCAGAGGCAAGCACTGTGGTGAAGTTTGTTACTGTTCTACATGTATTTCACAGTTTTATTATATATTCATATTCACATAACACATAAACTTAGACATAAACTCATACTGTATATAAAGTTTTATACTTAATATAAATACAATTTATATATTACACATTATAAAAATTATGCTTATGTACTGCATAAGCTTTACACTTAAATATTATAATCAAAAATAAATTATATATTTACATAAGCTAACATTTATATACTGTATGTCTAACATTAACATTTATACTGTGTATAGTGTATATAAATTAAAATGTACAAAATTAACATCAAACCCTTCATATAATGATGGTGTAACTTGCCTTTTAGCCAACACAATGTATTTTTATTTCTATTCATTTTGATGCATCTTGATTCCCTTCATTCATTCAACTGCAGTGGAGTTTTCCATCATTGGAATATGTCACAAATAATTTATGATTGTCCTGTGATTTGCAAAGTACACTTGTTTGAAATTTCCTATGACTGTAAACAATGCTGCCACACATTCTGTGGCTGTTTTCTTGTGTACACATGCGAGTGATTTTAGGACAGATACCTAGAAGTGGACGCTTCCCCCTCCCCAGGTATTGTCGGTTGTTTTTTAAAGATGTCTGCATGTGCCCTCTCACGCCAGCAGCATAAGAGGCTCCCATTTCTCTGCATTCCTGCTGCCACCAGGCCATGTTGATCTTGAACTTTGTTGTTAATTGGATGGAAGTGAAATGGGAGATCACTGGTGTTTCACTTGTTTCCTGACTGTTCATGAAGCTGACAATCTTTTCGTACGGATATTGACCCTCTGGGTTTTTGCTTCTGTGAAATGCCTTTTCATAGCTTTTGTCTATTTTTCTCTGTTGGGTTATTTATCTTTCCCTTATTAATCTGTAGGAGTTTTTAAAATATTCAGGTTTTTAATCCTTTGTTGGTTGTGAGCATTCGCCATGATTTTCCTGGTTTGCGACTTGTCTTTGAATTTGGTTTATAATGTCATTGATTATGTAGAAGTTTTACATTTTGATGTAGTTAAATTTATTGCTGTTTTTCTTATAATGTATGCATTGTGTGTCCTGTTTAAGAACTCCATCATCTGCTTCTGGCTGCTGACATTGCTCCATTTGAAAGGTGGCATCTATGACTACGCGTGGGACAGGGAGGAGGCCTTTTTTTTTGCTTTCTAAATTCTTAATTACAACAACAACCCCACCATTAGGTAAATTCAGGTTCACACTAATAATTCCAGATTATTTTGTGCCATGGAGTGTAGTATAGTGCTGAAAAGTGTAAGTTCTGAAGTGAGACTGACTGGATCTGGATCACTTACTTTGGGCAAGTTACTTAAACTCACTTGGGGAATGATACTCTGGTACTTACCTTGTAGGGCTGCTGTAGAGATTAAATTAGTTTATGAATGCAAAGCCCTTAGAACAGTTTCTGGTATAATGTAAGAGCCAAGGGCTCTCTCTTGCTATTGTTATTATTGTTATTAGCATCATTTTTAATCATTGTTAGTACTCAGATTTCCACTGGGCTGGGTTTCTAGGGGCTACCTTCAGACATTAGAGCTGCCGTCCTCTACATGCTTCTCAGTGCCTAAACTGAAATCATCTTGTTCTGCATGGCCCAACACCACCTTAGGACACTTGTCTTTGAGGAGGTGAAAAACATTAGAATGCAAATGGAAAAATCATTGCATTTGGTTCCCCAGTTTGCTGGTATCAGACATTTCATCTTATTTAGCTTTCTTTTTCTTTCATTTTTTTTTTTTTTTTTTTTTGAGATGGAGTCTTTGTCTGTTGCCAGACTGGAGTGCAGTGGTGCAATCTTGGCTCACTGCAACCTCCGCCTCCTGGGCTCAAGCAATTCTTCTACCTCAGCCTCCTGAGTAGCTGGGACTACAGGCACACCCGGTTAAATTTTTGTATTTTAGTAGAGATGGGGTTTCACTGTGTTGGCCAGGATGGTCTCGATCTCTTGACCTCATGATCCGCCTGCCTCGGCCTCCCAAAGTGCTGGGATTACAGGCGTGAGTCACCGTGCCCGGCCTTATTTAACTTTCAAAAAAAGTAGAGAATTAAAGGTTTCAAGGGATCAAGTCCTATGTGAATTCAGAGAGAGTCATCATGCTCTGAAATCTCCAAAACAAGACAGATGCATTAACACAGGTGGCTTGTGAGGACTTCAGAGTCTATCTATTGTGAATGTTTCCCCAGTGCCCCTTTCCTTTTCTCTGGTTTAGTTACCCCTCATTCTTGTGCTTCTCAGACAGGCTACGAAAGCATCACCCCCTCCTCTCTCTCTCCCATCCACAGGGGTGGGCATGTTACCCAAGCTGGATTACCCATCTGGCTCTACTAATTCTTCGAAGAGGTGGGCATGTGACCCAATCTAGGCCAATGAGATTTTCATTTTGCCCTTGACTGACTGGAGAACAGTTATTTCTTTCCTGGTGGCAAGCTGGAAAGAAGAGTCTGAGGTGCTGGCCAAGTTGTTCAATTGTCAGCCTTGTCTAGTAGATTCTAAGCCCTTGTGGGGGAGTCAGGGACCATGTCCACCTTGCTTGCTATTTTACCTCTTGCATCAAATAGCCCAGGTCCTGGGAACGTGATAAAAATAGTTGAAGAAAATTGTGGTTTCCTTCCAGAAAGCTTCCAGGCCACGTGCTGGTCAACTCTGCCTATTGCTGCTCACTCTGCACCTTCCTGGGTCCTCTGGTTCAGGGCCTCAGCTCCTGTGGTTCAACCAGAGTATCTCATTGATCAGATTTGGATTTGACCTTTGGACTTCAACCTTACGTACCTCCCAGCACATACTTTTGGTGTCGACCTTTCTTTTCCATCCAGAGGGGCTGCAGAGAAAAGTGTCCTTGACTGTGTGACCTGCTTTAGGTCCTTCTGGAGTGAGCAGTTAGTTTCCTCCCACTCCCATCCATTCTCAGCCAGAGCAGTAGATGTATTCAGTCAACTTCAGCTCATACTCCTTGTTTATGATCATAGATTCTGCATTTGTGGTCTACACAAAAAGAGTGAGGCACACAGTTAAGACAGCAGATAGAAAAAATATATTTTTGTACTGTTTCTTTTAACCCATGGATTTTCAAACTTTACTATTCCTCACAATTACCTGGAGTATTTGTGAAGAGACAGATCTCCGGGTCTCACTCCCAGAGTTGGAGTCAGCTGGTCTGGGGTGGAACCCGAGAATCTGCATTTATAACAAGTTTCCAGGTGATGCTGATGCTGCTGGCCTGGGGACCACACTAAGAGCCATCGTTGAGTCATGTTCTCTTTTAACAGAGGTGCTTACTATCAGGATCTGATGGGCTTTGGGTTAAGGGTGAGTGTATGCATCCAGGATCTATTGTGGAAATAGAAATCACTTGGATTATGAAAAGAAATTTAACAGGGAATTAGGAGCTGATGAAATTGTTGGAAGAATTGGAGGAGTGCCTCTAGGCTTGGCCTCCAGGAATGGGAATGGTTCCTGGGACAAGGTGGCAGCATTGGCCACTTCCCCAGCAAGAGAGCTGGAAATCAGAAGGCCACCTCTAGCAGTGCCAATGCCAGGCCACCCAGGCACTGCTGCCACCCAAGGCACAGCCGCCACTTTACACCCGCGAAGCTGCTGACAACTCATGGAGCGGTCTCCCTCCACGTTGCTGTGGTTCCGTGGCTCTTCTGAGGGAGAGAAAATGTCAGCCTTCTTCTGCCTTCCAAATTTCATACAAGTGTATTCAGTACCCTAGCACAAAGGAGCCTGGGATGTTTTTTAACCTATCAAAGTAGAGGTTAGTAAGTGGGGGTTGAAAGGAGTAAGTGATTCAGCAGAAGCCTAGTTTCTGGGGAAGGGAGGGAACTTAGAGGAGACGTGGTTAGCACATGCACACTCAAGGGACTCAGATTCTATTCTGATGTTCTGACAAGAGACTAGCTATTGGCTCTTTCTGGGAATTTTCTTTCATTTAGACAGTGAGAAGAATTTCCGCATCAGGGAATCAAAGAGAAAAATATTAATTTAGCTACATATGTTTATACTCTGGAGAAATAACCACTATAGGAATGCTTGCAATGGCTTTTATTACTATCATACATTGACTTCGTTTATTGAAGGGTTTCCCACCCTTAGCACTATTGACATTTCACACATGTAGTTATATCTTGTGGAGGACTGTCCTATGCACTGTGGGACATTAAGCAGCACCCCTGACCTCTACCCACTGGATGACGGGTGCATCCCCCAAGTTGTAAAGACCAAAAATGTCTCCAGACATTACTAAATGAACTTTGGTGGAGGGAATCATCCATGGTTGGGAATCACTCATGTACTCAATCTATATACATATAGTATCTTTGCATATATAAAATGGCTTATTGCAGGCTTTTTTTTTTTTTTTGAGACGGAATCTTGCTCTGTCACCCAGGCTGGAGTGCAGTGGTGCGATCTTGACTCACTGCAAGCTCCACCTCCCGGGTTCACACCATTCTCCTGCCTCAGCCTCCCGAACAGGTGGGACTACAGGTGCCCACCACCATGACTGGCTAATTTTTGTGTTTTGTTTAGTAGAGACGGGGTTTCACCGTGCTAGCCAGGATGGTCTCGATCTCCTGACTTTATGATCTGTTTGCCTCGGCCTCCCAAAGTGTCGGCCTAATGCAGACTTTTAATCAGAATGTCCAAGCATAAATTATAGCATACCTCTATGATGGAATAGTATGCAGTTTCGAAGGATGTGTAATCATGTATCAAAATATATTTAGTATATTGTTAAGTTTTAAAAGGCACACTGCATACAAACTCCAGTTGTGTAAAATGAAATTGAATGTGTGTACTAATGCATTCTAGTCCAAGGAAAATAAACCAAAATTATAATTGTGGCTATTTCTGAGTGATAGGATTACCTGTGCTTTTAATTTTCATCTTATTTTTTCTACATATCCAATTTTATAAAACAAATATGCATGCATTATATACATATGATATTTGAGTAATTGTTATCACTGAGAAGAGAAGGAGAGAGGAATTTAACATTAATGAAACATCTATTCTATTCCAGGCACTATGAAAGATACCACCTAACCCTAGTCCACTCTAAAGCACTGTGCAATGGCATCAGAATGGACTGGAGAGGCAGGCAGAATTGGTTTTAAATCGTGGCCCCCAGGACCTGCCTGGACCTGCCTGGACCTGCCTGGCCTTGGGTGAGTTGCTTAATCTCTGCAAGTTTATGTTTCTTTCCCTGTAAACTGGTGCTGGGTTTTCAGGGTGGCTGCAAGGATTAACAGAGGTGATTTAGGCCATGTGTTACTATTGATTATTAGGCAGAACTTCCCCCTGGGCGGGATGTGCCCTTTTTTCCTTCAACACACCGGTTCCAATCTTGCATAAGTGACGGCCACATTGCCACATCCAGTCCTCCTTTCCCATCTTCCTGAGAAGAGGCAGTAGACTAGAAGAAAGGAGAAAGTGAGTAAAGCCAAAAACCCAGCACTTCTGAGAAGCTGGATTTGCTTTCTCCTCGTCAGGGCTACTGACAGGCCCTTTAGCAAGACAGAGGCTAATTACTTACCAGGAGTAAAAGAAAATGTGTCGTTTGGTTGTTCTGGCTTTTCCCAGTGCAATAAATCACAGCCACAGGAATCCAGCTTAATTTGATTTAATAAAGATTTTAAAGAAAGAAAAACAGTTTTCCTTGTTTTTATCGAAACTGCTAGTCATTTGTGTCTGTTTCATTTAGGGCTGTTAATGTGATGTGACCCACTCACTCTGCAAGTCACTTTCAGCACTTCGGAGTTCCGCTGTCCACATTTATGCTCGTCCATACCACCTGTCCCCCTGCCTGTTGGATCCTATGGTCCCTTGCCCTCTTCCCTCGCGTCCCCAGTCCCTCTACTCAATTCGTCAGGTTCTGATTCTCAAAAGGAGTTTCCACTCACTTTGACAATTCATTTGGCTCTTTGCCTGGCTCTGACCCTCACAGTGTCTCCTGAAATAAGAATCTTAAGTTTCCTGCTGGCCCTCGCACAGCTGTGGGTGGGAGGCATTCCTGCTCACCCCTCACCCACACTTCCCTCACATCAGGCCTGCACTGCTGCATCCCCCATTGGGCTTCCTTGCCAGGTGAGAAGCATCAGACGATTTGAGTGCAGCAGCAAAACAGAATGGCGTAGGATAAATCTCAGAGGTGGCTTTTGCTTATTTTATGAAAGCCAGAGAGCTCTCAGTTAAGAACATCTATGCAAATAGGATTTCACTTCTCCCCTCGCTCTGGCTTATATTTGTATTTGTCTTGTTTCTTGAAGGTGTTGCTCCTTTTTTAACAACCACTATTTCCCAGTGATTCCAAATGACATGCTGAAATGAAAGCCCTAATAACCTCCTACAGAAGAGAGGTGATGGAACATAATAGGGAAGTTTCAAGTGCTAGGGTGTTTCAGCTGGGAAAAAGGAGCTTGAGGGATTGGCCTGAATGACCTGTTGCTATGTAACCAAATAGGCAATCTGGGGAGGGTGTGCTGAGGGCCGGTGTCAGACCCCTTGACCTTAAGCATGCCTTACCTTCCCGGGAACAACGGAATGCCAGAATTAGAGGGTGATTCAAAATCGAAATGCAGCTCTTCCATTCAAAACAGTGAGGTCTGGAGAAACTAAATGTCTTTGTGTAGGATATCCAGTTACTGAGGAACAGGAAGGAGGCTGGAACCCAAGCATCAGCTGTTAGTCCTTTGAACTTCCCATAGATCTGACTTGGACGTGTCATTGCCTCTAAGGCAACTTTTTGTTTGTTTGTTTGTTTTGAAACAGCTATGTGAGTGAGTGTCCTTTGTGTGTGTTTGCATTGAATTAGAAGTTGGGTCCCCCTTCCCCACCAGGTGGGGTTTTGTTTTTGTTTTTTTTTTTCCTCCAGCTTTATTCAGTTATAATTGACAAATAAAAACTGAATATACTTGAAGTGTACCATCTGATATGTTGATATACATATATATTGTGAAGAACAATCAAGCTAATTAACATCCTGTCACCTCACATAGTTACCATATTCTTTGTCTTTCTTTCTCTTTTTTTGTGATGAGAACAGTTAAGAGATAACCTTTTAGCAAATTTCAAGTATGCAGTGCAATATTGTTAACCATATCGCCATGCTGTATATGATTGCATCTCCAGAATGTATTCACCCTGCATAACAAACTTTGTACCCTTTGATCAGCAGCTTCTCATTTTCTCTCCTCCCATGCCTTGGCAACCACCATTCCATTCTCTGCTTGTGTGAGTTCAAAGATGTTACATTCCACCTATCAGTGAGATCATACAGTATTTGTCTTATTTCACATCACCTAATGTCCTCTAGGTTCCTCTATAATCCTGCAGTGCCTTGTGGTTCCAGCCCTCTGTGTGGTTGAAAGTGGGTGAGGAGGTAAATTTCTTATTCATCCTAGGAGACTGCGTCCAGTACAGTGGGTGAACTAACTTCAAGTATGAACTTGGCCGTGATATGTTCTTGTGAATCCCTAGTCCTGATCCCTGATACTCAGAACCTCACCGCTCTTCCCTATCCCTCTCATTTTCTATAGGCAGAGCCTTCACACTCTGAAAACCTCTTCTCACTCTAGTTACCCAGCCAGGTTTAAAATTATCTCATAAACTAATCCATTCTAGAAATATTAATGACCAGTAATAGTTTTATTTTTTACTTTCACGAAGATTTTTTGCATTTCAGCAGGGGGAATTCTATCAAACAAAGGTTTGATAGAGTAGTTCTCAACCATAGCTGCACATTAGAATTATCTGAAGAGCTTTAGCAAACTACTGGAGCATGGAGTCCCCACCCCCAGATATTCTAATTAAATTGGTTTTGGGAGGGGCCGGGGAAATGGTAATTTTTAAAAAGTTCTCCAGGTGATTCTAAAGCAGAGCGATTGGTGGGGCTCTTTGGCTCACCCCTGTAATCCCAGCACTCTGGAAGGTTGAGGCAAGCATATCACTTGAGCCCAGGAAGTCGTGACCAGTCTGGGCAACAGAGAGAAATGCTGTCTCTACAAAAAATATGAAAATTAGCCAGGCATGGTGGCATGCACCTGTAGTTCCAGCAACTCAGAAGGCTGAGATGGGAGGATCGCTTGAGCCAGGGAATTCAAGGCTGCGGTAAGCTGAGATGGTGCCACTGCACTCCAGCCTGGGAGACCCTGCCTGAAAAAACAAAACAAAAAAACCAGCTATTGTGGAAAACATCTGCTTAAATATGAATAATGACATCAATAGGATTCTCCCCTACGATGGCCACTAGAGAGATAGCTGCAGAGATGCTTCAACCCCTTCCCAAGGCAGAGCATAAGGAAGTGTTTCTGCTGCATCCCTGTGTGGGGTCCAAGAAAGGCGCAGAGGACCAGCGGGTGACCATGGGGCCAAGGAAACCATCTGGGGTGGAACATTTTCAGTCCAGTCTCGTTTCGTCTTAGTAAATTTGTTTCCTCTTAATTTCTCCAGTTAGAGATTAAATTAGGCTGCAAGCTAGCCATGCATGGGCTGGTTCTTGCTCACACAAGGGATTTCTTCAATGTATACAATATTTCTTGATTTTAAAACTTGAATTAATACCTGACAAAATCCAGATTTCCGTCCTTTCTTTGAAACAGAAGCAGGACTGGCCATTTGCCCTGGATTCCAGGATGGCTACGTTTGTCTGGTTGCTTCATGTAGATGCACATGCAATTGCTTCTTTACTTCAGGATCTACTTGGCCTCCTTCCTCCATATAGGTTACCTGGCTGGCCTTTCAGATACTTGCATTGTGCGTGGCTGAAATGATAATAATAGCTACTCTAGACTACCTGTAATGTGCCTCCTCATACTTTGTATCTAATTCTTGAGAGAACTTTGTAAGGCGTGTCATATCACTCTCTTTCACAGTTCTGGGGGAACTTAGGTCCAAAAAATGTTTTGACCAAAGTTCTGCAAAGTAAATCAGTACCAGGGGTAAGGTTCAAACTCAGATGGGCCGGCATTTGAACCTTACTTTCTTCCCACTTATACCCAGCATTGCACTTCTTTTGTTCAGTAGAGGTAAAGAACATTGAGGATGAACTTTCAGAAGCTGTTTAGCCAAGGTCCTCAGCATATGTGCTTCTGACCAAGGGTCTCGCATACACCTGGGGTCCCAGGATGTCATTCTCCATCTCATGGCTGTCTCTGTAGAAGCTGATCTGGGGCAGCTCCATGTTCTGCTGAGAAATTCAAGCTACCTTAGTAACTTGCAACAGGTGCTTCCCTATCTTTACCAAAGAGAAAGTTTTGTATTCTGACTATAAGCTTCATTTCTAGAAGCAGCAACACAACTTCCTTCTTCAGTTCAGTATCTGCTCTGTATCAGGTATTACTGAAGGCATTTTATATGAGTGGCATTATTTAATCTACCTAACAACTCATTTGATCTGGTTGATTTTACAGATGAAGCAGACTCTCCAAGAGATTGAAAAAATTGCAAAAAGTCATATAGTTACTAGACAGTATGTCTTCAGACAGATATCTACTAGTGTTCTGTCGTAGCTGGTTGTTGTCATTAAACAGAATAAAATACCTTAAGTCGATTATTATTTCTTTTTAATGTTAAAAGTATTATGTTTATTGTTGAACTTAAGGTAAATTCAACAAAATCAAAGAAACAGGAAAATATCTCCACCTTCTAGAATTGCTGTACCATTTTGGGGTATTTTTCTGTAGTTTGTATGTGTGTGTTTATGCATCACATATAAAATATATGCGTTTCAGAAATATTTAATAATGGAAAAACTCTTGAGTGTTGGCAATGTTATATTAAAATTCTACTTAAAAAGAAATTGTATTGAATCAGAGATGAATTATCCAACTGTTAACTGAATATTTACTGTGTGCTAGGCACTGAAGTTTGAGAGATAAAAAGAACCCTCAGGGAACACATGGGGTGTTTGTCTGTAAAATAGACAAGTAAATGCAAAATTATAATGCAGTGTGATAAATGTTTTGATAATGATAAGCCCTGGAAGTTTTGAAAGTCACAGGAGACACTGTTCACTCAGCCAAGGGAGACAGTGCCGTCCATATCTTCATTACCCGGAACAGGTAATAGGAACTGAGTATTGCAGCAAGTGTGGAAGATACCTGAGTAAACAGGAAGAAGAGGGCATCCCAGGGAAAAGGACACTATGTACAAATCTCTGAGGTTTAAG